CTATGGCATGGACGAGCTCCGAACGTACCCCAATACCTCCTATTCGGTCAACTACGAACCAGGCCGCACATGGCCAATCGCGCCACAATACCCAAACTGCACCACCCCTCGATTACAGTACGATACTTATACGCCACAGATCCCAAACACAGTATCGTATTGGCCCTACGCACCAATAAAACCATGAGAATTCGAACAGTCAACTTCAACGCGTACCACAAAAATCGTGACCCCCTTGCCACGACCACTGCAGCAATTCAAAGCCTTCACTCCCCAACCCACTCCCAAAGTAATTACCACGACCACACCCCCTCTCATTCACCACGGCCGAGCCCGTCACTACCCCGACGCCAACCTATGAGACCTGGCACACAATGCCGAACTCGATCTCCTTGATGAACGCCAAGTCATTACATGGATACCTGACCACAAGCTCCGGCCCCTACCAAACCAATCCCGCTCACCATGGGATACAGATACAAACGCGAAAGCGAGGTCCAAATAACAAAACGAAAAGCCCGATGTGCAGCACGTGGCGACAAAATGATTCCGCACGTGCACTTCGATCCGGAAAAGACAACTACCTATATGGCCGACAAAACAACAGTGCGACTCCTATTCGCCATTGCCGCCGCCCACAGACCCTACATAGAACACATCGACATAGAAGCGGCATACCTGCACGAGAAATTTGCCCACAATGGCAAAGACACTGTATATTTCCGACAACATCTTCGATTCGATGGATCGTATAAACACCCATGCCGCTCAGGACGACTTCACAAAAGTCTGTATGGAACTCCATCTGCAGACCACACATACCTACAATCCATATTTGCCACCCTCGCACAGCACAAGTTCCTCCAATCCGAAGCAGACCCATGTCTGTTTCATAGATATCATCAGCACGACACCACGTTCGTCGCCATCAGTAAAAGTTCGCCCAAATCCTTGCCAACACATACAAAATCAAAAGACTGGGAGAGCACAAAACATTGCTCGGATGGACAGTGTGTCGACAACTTTCCGGCGACATACACGTGTCACAACCCAACGCAATCAACTACGTTGTCCACAAGTCTGGAATGGAACACTCCAACGGAAAACCAAACCCGTACAATGACGGGTCCCCTCTTCAAGGACCCACAGACCTCGATGATTACACCCTCGAAACAACCAAAAAATATGAGCAACTCCTCGGCGACATCAGGTACATAGCGGACTCTACCCGCCCTGACATATTCTTCTATATTTCGTTACAAACCGACTATCCGTTGCTACCAAAACACCAACAACACGCCACTGGAACGCCATAACACGCCTCATCCGATATCTAAAAGCCACCAGCACGCATGGTATTCTCTTCAAGGCAGGCCACCACAAGCTACCATCCGCAAGAAACGGCACTTTAGTCCACCCCCAAGACCTCCAATCATTCCCGGATGCCGACTTCGCGGCAGACGTCAAAGATCGCAAGTCGATTTCGGGCATGATCCACACTTACCATGGCTCACCCATATGCTGGGGATCCATGAAACAAAAGATCAATGCACTATCGACCTGTGAAGCCGAACACATTGCCGCAACATCTGCAGCCCAGCAGACCACATGGCTACAAAGAATGCTACAAGACATTGGCATGAACCCTCCGGCGCCCACAACATTCTTTATCGATAATCAATCCGCAATCCGTGTCGCAAAAAGCACCGGACCTACAAAACGACGCAAATTCATAGACCTTCGCCACCACTTCCTGGTGCACCACACACGCGCAGCCAATATCCGCATCAAACACATCCCTAGCGCGAGTATGCTTGCGGATATCCTCACTAAACCGCTCAAACGACTATAGTTTACTACACTCACCAGACAACTGCTCCTCATACCCCCGCCGACCACCCCCCCCCCAAAATTCACACGCACGGATAGCCCCTCAGTGACGGGGGGAGTGTAATGATAGCCATAACGCAACAGTGTCACTTCGGCACTACCGTCCTGCACTGAAATGATAGCCATAGACACTGCACAGGTACACATCACACACGTCCCACACGTGGCCCACACGCAGCCCTACCGGCGGCGGCGTCACGTCTTAAAGAAACGGACAATCCCAAGTCCCAATAAACTGGTCCATCGTTCACCGCACTACACTGCCGGAGGCACCGCCCGCTCAGCGATACACGTAGCTACGTGTGTGCCACCTTCATCCGTGGGTACGTAGTCCACGTGTGCTTACTGGGGCGGTTCCCCAGATTACAATATTTGTTTCTACACTGTACCGTAAGACAAATTACACCTCTACAGGAGCCCTGTCTTCCCCGCCATCGACTTGTTCTCGCCGGCGCATTGAAGCCGATCTCGGACGTACCTACTTCACTACACAGCAAGCGATGTACGGTATGTTCTATGGAGAGCAAATGGAAAGAGTGTGACTTACAGAAAATATCAACAGGACTTTGTATCTCGTGATACTTTCCAGTTTCTTCTATTCCAATCTTGTTCTCTACTTTTACGATTCCCTCTTTGCGTCAAGTATAAAATATCCACAGCAATACACCACATGTAGATGAGCGGCCCGTTAACTCTTAAAGCCAAAGCCCTCAGCCCTAACAGCCAGCAACGCGTTATCAGAAGGTGAACGCTCTGCAGCCTCAAACCGCGACAAAATGGGCCCAGGCATTCCAAGAAAGCCGGAGCGCCAGGACTTAGGAATAAAGGTCCAATAGTGCCGCAAGTCTTAGAAATTAAATACCCACCTTTTCTCCCTTGTCCTTTGTTTCAAGTACCCAGCTGTGGCCAAAATTGATCTCCTTTCTGCCATCTAGTTTTTGGTTGATGATGTGTGCGTGAGGTAAGCTTGAGTGTTGCTGCGTTCCAAGCGTGCTTGAAGTGGTTGAATATTGTGGTTCTGATTTGCGAATGTAGATACTCTGAAATATGTAAGCAGTGATATTTAAACGGCCGATAAAGTTCCTCACTGACTATAAATCCCAGTCATGCAGTTATGCAGATGCTCAAATGATTTCTGGGGTTCGTGCGCTCGAATCATCGCTAATGGAGGGAAATGGAACACGTATGTACTATCAAAGGGGAAGGTATGGAAAAAAAACTAGACAAAACCGTGATGCGGAGGATAAAGATACGAGGAGCGCGTACGCTCCCAACCAGCTCTACGGTCCTATCTGATTAGTTGGGTTGTAAACCTAGGGGTTTACAGTTTCCCCCCGTGGCCATCCCATTGCAACTCTCGATGGCCCGCAACCACGCTAATTTTAGTGAATGCAACAACAGTATCAGTATCCAGATATTAGTACTATACGTCTACACATTGCGTGAAATTGAAAACATATATTCATCGACAGAAGTGCCCACGCTCTTGCAGGTTAACACGTGCCGCGCCACTATGTATCCTACCCATAAACACGCCAATAGAAACTCCGGTGCAGTCAAATTAATGCGAAAAGTAACTAGTATCAAAGTACCTCAAAACGCATTGGACAATTGCTATAAATACGAGAAGTTCCAAATGAAAAAACAAACAAAAGAGCCTTTAATACTTTGTTTCACCGCCGCGAGCATCCATCACTGCACGCATACGACATGTGAAGCTTTTGTAGAGCCTCAGCAAAAGATCGGAATCTACTGTAGCACCTATCTCGTCAATATTTACTAATCCTCCACGTTATCGTAGTGCCTGCCTCGCGCACAGGCAGTCCCGGCTATTACTCTCCCAAAAGTTTTCGATTTTATCGATATGCAGGGATGTAGTATAGCGGCCAGCGCGCGCGGAGGTTATTAATTTAGCGGCTGTGTACGGTGTACACGTGGACGAGGGGCCCACGTGTGCGAAGGGCGCGCGCGTACCAATCGGTCGTGACGGGGTGTACGTCCACTGTAGCACACGTGTCGTCCGTGCTGTAGTTCGTAGCTATTTCGCGTGTACTGTGACGCACACGCGTAGTGTTAGGATCCACGCGGTAGTTTGCAATTATGGTGCTTGTATTTAACTGCGTACAGTACCCGTCACGCACCACGTGGCAGGGACTGTACCGGGACAGGTGCTTGAGACGTCTATCTGTGGGGTAAAGACCTGATACTCGTCCTCAACAGTAAACTGGGGCAGCCAGCGACGTGTGCCACTCTCTTTTGCGAGCTTGTCCATATCGATTAATTCGCGCGCCGCGCGTTTGCGCCGCGTGCTCCTTCGGCGACAATTCCACCTCTCACCTAACCCAAGGACGGCAGGAGTTATCCCATAGGGGACTTTGGGGTCACTGCACCGTCCTGAGACAGTAACGGGAGAGCCATTGTTTTCTTAAATTCGAAGTGTAGATTCGACAATTGTCTTGCAGGAAGCTCCAATTCTTACCCTTACCGAAAACCTCAGCAGTAAACGGCAGTGAACTGTCCCTTGGTACATCAAAACACTTAGCAGATTCATGAGGGACTTCCATGAAAATTAGCGGCGACATCCCATATAGGCTGAAAAGACCCTGTTAGTATGGAAAAAGGTTCGCTTCGCTGTTTGTTTTCCTTCTCCCTCTCTGTTGAAATCTCTCTGTGTGTGTCCTCCGTCTCGTGCCTCCACCCTTCTTCTCCGATTTTCATAGCCGCGAAGCTTCCACTTGGAAGCTCGCGCGAACTCATTTAGAAACCCGGCGAAATTATTCTAGAAACTGGTGTCAAATTCAATACATCATTTAGGGTTCACACGACCCTCCTTCCAGCGCAGCGCACGGCGATGCACAGTATACAATCTGCCCCGGTGTCTCACTTCTCCAAGTTGTTCCCCGTCCTGCATCTACACCGCCGGCTCGCCTCCTTTGCACACCTTGTCCTGTACCCCGCAGCCCTTTCTCACCGACACGCCTCTTTCTTACCCCGCGTCTGCTACTGTCGCCTGCGCACTGTAAGGGGCATCTACCCCGGCCAGGTGAGTCGCGCCTACGTGAGGTTTTAGCACACGCGCGCGCTTCTTGGCCACTTCCCTCTGTGCCGCCATGGCAAACGCGAGGCAGACGGGGAGGAAGAGCACAGGTGGGAAGGCCCCACGCAAGCAGATAGCTGTAAAGGCCGCTCGTTCTACGAAACAAGATGGAGACCGTCGGAACCATTTCATGTTCCAGTTGTCAGAACGCACGGACATCATAAAAGTTTCCAAATCAAGCGCCGCCGCCGCCCCTCCTCATGACTACCATATATAGGTGGAAAGCGGACACCGGCGGTACAATGTGACACGCGCCGAGCTTGAGGCCCTCTCAGAGGGCAGAGGAGCCACTCGGTTATATGGTACCCCAAGGCTTGGGGCACCATATACCCGAGTTGCTCCTTCCAAAAGAAGACTGTCAGTTCACTGTCGACGACCTGGCACGCTTCGGGTGGATCAATTCGGTCAACGATACAGGCCGTCACAACACCATGACAGACCAGGAGTGGGATATCTCCCAAATCTACCTCTGGAAAACCGGAGTGTACTATGGGGTGGATGCATCTACCAAACACTCCTACCCCATAGATCTCTACACCCTCATGATCAGGGGTACTGGAAAACTGCACTACCCATAAAGTAGTTATGGGAGCCTTCTGTTTCGGGGGGAAAGACCGTCACTATGCATACATGGCAATCGACGCTTTCTGGCCCCAAGCCACTGATTCTTTGGGAGTGAGTGCACATTTGGCTGCACTTATCATCGTGTTATCACTTTGTTCTCCAGCTAACAAGCATTGTAACCACTCCGCACTGTATCCTGCAGTGCCATTATTCATCAGGTGCTCCGTTATCAAAAATGAGCTTTGATCTAACGCACGCTTCGCCGTATTTTGTGACACAGTTCCAAGCAAGCTGGCACATGCGTTCGACAGCCGATGGCACACTACAGGTCGAAGTCATGGCGAAATGTTGCGTATGTTTTTTGGAGTCACAGCAATAGAATAATGTTAAAAGATGGGAGCGGGGAAGAGCCGAGGTTAATGGTCGTACACCAGATCGTCGTCGTCCGGGATCGCGCTCTTCTCTTCGAACACGTGTATTACACGTGCGACACGTAAATTAACGTCTAATACCAAGTGGCAACTTAATAGTAATTATTTTATTAATATTAATTGTAATTAGAAATTCTCTATTCAATTAAATTGGTCGAAAGCTGGTGACCGGTACAGTAAACGGACCAGGTGGCCTGACTGCACCAAGTCTGGAACCTGCGCGCTTCGTCGTCGGCCTTTTTCAGTTTTTTGGTTCATTTTTGGCTAATTTCCACATTTCTAGGAGACATTGCGTGCAATTACTGGAGGACTTTTGTAGCGCATTTTCGATGTGTTCTGGGGGGTGAGGGGTGCTGCTTGTGGTGTGCGGGCTTACCCTCCAAGATGAGGGCAACTACGCGGAGCATTGTCGAGGGTAAGCCCCGTGGCATGCGGACGGTTCTGCGCCATTCATTTTGAACTTTAGTATGGACAAGTTGGACTAACTAGATCGCAGTACTGTAATGCTTTAATTGCAAACTTGTTTGTTGGGCCAAAGTTGGGCAACCCCCCCCCCAAATGTGCTGCAATCGACGTGGTGGGGCTCCCGTCATCTGATTGGCCACGTGATGCCAGCAAGGTGGGGCACCCCTCTCTGGTTCATCACGTATGAAACCAATTAGTATGATATGCACCTAATTTACTGTGCGGTAGAATATCGCCTCTGCTGCGCATCACAGATCAGAAGTCATCTGCACAACCAATTATGATTTATTTGCATGCTTTGTGTAACCTGAAATGGGATTTTTTCAACCATGTATTCGGGTCGGGTTTTAATTTTTGCATTTAGCTTGTAGTGCTGCGTAAACCCACCCTCGCACTGCGGGGGCACGTTCCTTATCAACAGTCGTCGCCGGTTGTACAAGCAGAACCAAAGTTGAGTGTGCTGCCCTCGAGCGCCTCGTTTTTGGTTCCTGCTGATTCTGACCCAAAGAAAAGGGCACTGAGGTGTAGGATTGCTACGCCGTGCCGAGAAAAGAACGACAAAATCTGATTTTCGCAACACTTATAAGTGCACGAAGCCACAGTCACTGCTGTCGTCGCTCGCCGCTGCCGTCGCTCACTGTTGCCGTCGCCTGGTGATGTTGCCGTCGTTCGATGCTACCATCCCTCACGGCTTCTGTTGTTTCTATCAAGAATATAGTAAGGAAACCTTTGGATATTCATGGTACGTGAGAGCCTAGCGATACTTCTGGCAACTTGAACCAATCTCCGATACTGCGTGATATTCAACCCGATACTGTGGTAAAACTGGTGCGACCTCCTTGAGGTCTGGTGAAGTAACGGCTCGAGAGGAGAGACGGGGTGTGGTGGTGCGACGTGAACTATCCAAAAACATCCATAAGCCTAATTCAAGATGTCTTATGTTTCCGATTCAACTACCATCAGGGAACAGAGAAGAGGTATCATGAAGGCGGCAGTGGAACCAATAAATGTCATTTCTGAAGAACAACATGCTTTCAAGGAAGGCATGAAACTTATGCTGAACAGTACATGAATGTCATCCGCAGCTACTCGCGAGACAATTGTCGAACTTTTTCCATCAGAATCCCTTGTAACACCTTCATTTCAGAAGTTACCACTCTTGTTCTATAATTTCCGGGATGTACTTCGCTTTTGCGGTATTATTGTTGAACAAAGGCAAGGATTGTATATTCCCCAGGCCGTCGTCAATGCAACTTACTCTGATGACGCTCAGTTGCAGAACACTGCAAATTCATACTCGGCCGATTTCAAACTTATCACTTCACGGGGAAGCTCCTCCGTCCAGGCGTCGGAAGTTCGATCAGGAGTAAATCACGATTCTTTGAAAATAAAAGTGATTGGCGATAAGTGGATGCAGTAAATCGTCTCTTTACCGAAAAAGAAAAAGACAGCGGGATTCTAGCAGACTCTCCAAATCTAACAGAGGCACAGAATGCATACATAACGTATTGCCCTCAGAAAGGCTTCTCTCGGGGTGATCGCGTGAGACTATTTTCAAGTGTTCTCAAGGGTCCTGCATTGTTATATTGGAGTACCAACATCCAAGGGAGGGATGTGTACACAGAGATAGCAGTTGTTTAAAGCATTTGAGAACCAGTTCGACACTCCAGCTCATCAACGCCAAATCGAGTCGTTGACGAACTCCCTCACTGTTGAAGCTGTCAGAAAGCAACGAAGATGCAGTAGCGTTGCTGTACTCGGTTTTCTCTACCACGAAGAGTGCAGATTGAACGAGCAATTCCCGAAAGTAAAGAAAGGAGATGCCTTTCGTAATCAATCTTTGATGAAAATCGTGGAGAGACACGAATGGTCTCGGACATTTGAGGAGAAAGTCATGCAAGAAGCCCCCAAGTATGACGCTCTTTACACTCACCTCTCCGCATCTGTTGTGATATGGGAGAATGACATACAAAGAACTGGACAAGATCCTCACTCTGCTGATGACCTTCGAAAATCGCAACCCTCGGCAGCATCTTTCATAGTGTATGGGGCATAATCTGCAAATCCTGTATCTACTGGAAAGTCCCGTACTCTTCCCAATAGGCCAACCCCTCCTTCATCAAAAGTAGACAATTTCCTTCTCGTCAGAATAATAGAAAGGCGTTAAATATCCCACTCCGATTCTGCACGAACAACGAGGTGGAAACTCGCCGTTTCAAGTACGGAAGAACGGGTCATTGGCATGCGCAGTAGACATATAATGATGGGCAAATCATGCGGCAAGCAGCTAGAAGCAGGATACGCCAGATTGGCAGCCGGCCAAATGTCGCAGCTGCAAGAGGTCTTTTCCAACTCTTGCAAGAAGAGGACGAAGTAATGCAGACAATGGATTCTGAGGATGATACCTTTGAGACGCTCATGAAGACGAAAAGTGCACAGAACGAAGACACCGATAACGTTTATGACACTTTGGTGGCCAAGTCTGAAGAAGAAGTTCAAGACGCAGAGAATTTTCGAGAGGCGGGATTGCAGTAACTACACGGCAAAATACCGCTATGAATCACCACCGGACATTTCCTCACTACAACCGTCTCATGCTCAACCTTTTTGTGTGTTTTTCGTTTGCTGTACTATTGCTGAACTGTCCAAACCCTTCGACAACAATCTCATATCGAAGTTCTAAGGTGGAGCTGTTGATAAAGGAGCACAGATGTCTGTTATTGGAATCCATCAAGCAAGAGCGTACTGAAATTCACTTGATATCAAGCCCAGTTTGTCCTCAGCGCCTACTTCTGTATTTGGTGACCAAAGAAAAGGTAGTCATGGAAAGTTGAATATTATCGTTCCAACGCCAAACGGCGACAAATCAATCGAAACGAATGTGGTATCAGCACGAATCCCTTTCCTGATCGGCGTGGACACACTTGAAATATATGGGTGGAATGTACTAACTGTTCAAAACAAGTTGCATTCTGTGACTGAAGATTGGAAAATGCCCCTGACACGAAAACTCGGTTACCTGTATTTAACTTTGAACAATCAGTATGCTACTCACTGCCCCGGTAACAACTTAAAAACCTGCACCTACATTTCATGCATTCATCTACATCGAAGCTTCTAAACCTCCATAAACGTGCATAACCGGATAAGGTGACCCAAGATACGAAACATTTGCTGAAGGACATCTCAAATGCATTTCACGCTTGCCAGACATACTCCTCAAAACCAATAACATTTCAGGTCAGATTCCCAGATAAGGTATTCTTCAGCAAAGCTATACGTAAGGATCTCATGTAAATTGATGCGGCACCTGTACTCCATGTTATCGACGCTGGAACGAAAATTGCAGCAGCCAGGTTCCTCCCGGCAGAAAATAAAAACACTGTACGGAACGCTTTCTTGTATGCCTGGGTTATGGTGTACAATAGCTACCCTCATGACATGCTCACTGACTAAGGATCTGTTTTTAATAGGAAAGAGTGGGCAGAACGATGCAAGTCTGCAGATATTCATCTCAGAACAAGCGGTACTGAGTTCCACAACTCATTGGGTCAAGGAGAAACGCATCATTCGATGCTAAGGCGGGTGTATACCAAAGTGTCGATGTCACACCCCGATGATCCGAAGTAACCACGTCTATCATAATCTGTCGAGGCTATGAATGATACTGCAGGCCAGAGTGGATTAGTCCCTTCCCTACTCCTCTTTGGTGTATACCCGCGAATACTTCAATCTGCTTCATTCCTACCAATCCAGG